CTATTCAGGGTGTGGTGGGTTTGATTTTTTTTTTTTTTTTGTATCTATGTTCTTTATCCAATTTTAGTTGATTATGGGTGATAAAACTTTGTGATGCCAAAGATCAATCATTGAGTTTTTCAAAAATTAGTTTTTCAAATACTATAAAAATTTTAAAAAGTACTCTAAAAGGTACTCTAAAAAGTAGTCTTAAATTTTTTTTAATGTTTAAAAAATATCCCAAAATATATTCTAAAAACTCTACTATTCTTAAATATTTCAAAATATATTCTAAAAATATTTCAAAATGTACTCTAAAAACTTCGCTGCAGTCAAATTTTTTAAAAGCATTTCCAACAACAGCTAATCCAAAGGGCTCAGTCCAAGAGTTTGAGAAATGGATCTTTGGTTTCATAAAATGGGTTGTTGAAAGAAAACAAAAGGCTGCAAAGGGAGGAAGAGTAAGGGGGTTTGACATGTGGGATTGGTTGCTGATGGAGTGTTGGTTTTAGATCAAATTTGAGGTTTTTTTTTATTTCTGGTAAAATTTGATGGAGTATCGATTTAATTTTATCAGTTTAATAATAAGAGGCGGGTGTATTTACCTTGTAGAGAAAGTGTTGGGGCTGGATAGAGAGTAAGAATTAGCCTAGGCTGCCGAAAGTAAATTGGATTGCGATGTTTTGCGTGCCTACAATTGTTGGAATTGCTTTTGATTCAGCTTGGGATGTTTGCTTGGCTTTTCCGATGGTGTTGCCAAGAAAAAGCAATCATCAAAATTCTTTTTATTTTATTTTTAAAAAATTTTTGGTAGAGAGGATTTCTTGGCTTTTGATAGTCTTGCTTGGAAGAAGACAATCAACAAAAGAGGGCAATTAGTGAAGACGATTAGCAAAAATCTTTTTCCTTTTCTTTTTTTTTTTTTTTTGGCAAGAAGGGTAGTTTAGGATATATGAAGGAAAATGTAGGCTCTTGGGTCTATTTTGAAGCATAAATAGTGAAAGCAGGGGTGGTGGTGTAATTTTTAAAATTTAAGGGGAGCTCTCTGAAATTGTTTGAAACCTCAGGGGAGGTTTCTGAAATTATCCCCAAAAAATTTCAGCATTACTAAAGTAATTGTATTGTGTTTAAACAACTTGTTTATTTGCTTTTTCCTCTTTCACATCTACTAACATTTATCATTGTAATCATATTTTACATGTAATAACGTGCAAAACAAAACCATCGTAGTTAGCAATTACTCCACTTCATATTTTAGTCCTTTTCCAATTACTCATGGTCACCATTGCTAGAGTTAGGCATTAATTTTAAAAATTGTATCAAGTATGTGATCCGTTTTCTCTATTGTCCAATAAAATGTCCTCACTAATTAGTTTTCTTTTTCCAATTCACTTTATCCGCATAAATGAAAATAATATTATTCGTCGTGGAATCACATTTTTTTTAAGTGTATTTGTGTTCTATCAATATTCAGTGACAAATACAAATTTACATTCATTTGTCTCTTCTTTCAATCTCCAATGCACAAATTTAATAAAATTATATATTATTTTATTTCTTATATTCACTGAATTATACAACCATGTACTTGTAACTTTTGCCTAGCATAATGAACATTGTCTAATGTAAAGGGCTCTATTACCATATATATATATATATATATGTAGAACTCAAATTTTTAAAGATTTCTATTAGTGGCAACACCTGCAGTTAAGATCTTATAAATTCTCTTGACTCTTATAGATACTCTTAACAAGATTTATTAACTAATGTTTTATATATAACCTACTAGACTTATTGTGTAAGAAATCACTTACGCAAAAAATTGCTAAATAAAGTATAAATTCCTAAATTACATAACTACTAAAAACCTGATTCTAAATAAAACTACTAAATGATTAGACAAAAACTTGTAGTCTTGATTCATTTGCCAGCAAATCAATCATATAGTATTTGTTAGCCACTAATTTTGTCAACCCATATCAAGTCTTTTACGTGCCACCAATAATAGCTCTTTTATCGGCATTGACCTATTACCCAATTTGAACTTCATCCCTGCAAGAAGCACGACGATCTAATTTGGACAACAAAGAACTCGATCAGGGTGGGTGGGGGGAACCAGAAGAGATGGGACCTTATGGCCCTGCTCGCCAACTCAGTTATCTTAGAGTTAATTGCAAGAAAATCTCGTCCAAAACGTGCACATCGTGTTTTGCCTTGCCATCTAATCTTCTTCTTCTTTTTTTTTTTTTTTTGCTTTGCTCTCTAACCTGACTGTTCTGACACCAGAAATATTTGTAAATTTATTTCTTGCCCATTTGAACAAACTTGAAAATATAAAAAAAATGACCTCTTTTAATGCAGTATCAATTACTTCTGGAAAGCAACTTTGCTATAAAACGCAACCACCGATACCCCAGTCACTATTTATTTGACACAATAACAATAAATCTTTTTTCTACGCATGCTTCATGTCATAATCATCGAACTTTACATGAAGTGTTCATCAAAATTGGTCTCCCAACTTTGATCTTATCAGCTCATTCTACCATTTAATGCGACCGAAAAGAAAGTGAAACCATCCCCGGCCCAAATCTGCCCGAATACCATCAAATGAGTAGCCTACATGAATGTGTTATGTACTACAATCTTTTTCCTACTGCAGCTTGATGAAAATGGGAATTAGTTTTACCCTTCAACTCGTACAGACCATCAACTCGTATAGACAATCAATATACACAAATTTTCTTTTACTGCAGTTTCTACATTGATCTCCTTTTTCTAATATTAAGTAACACGATGAATTAATCTCTTAAACTTCCAAATTGCAGTAATTACAGACAGATGTTTGCCAACTTACAACTACAGCTTCGCTAAATTTCTCAAATGTAGGTATGAAACCAGAGAATTCTAGTAGGGTTAATTAGAAATATCCAAAAATATTCAGGCAATTCATAGAATTATACTTATTAAAGCATGTCCTAATAATTATAGTGGAAGTAGTTTAAAAAAAAAGGAATGTTGGGAACAAATTAAGCTAATTAAAAATAATCATTGTCTTTGTCATACCTAACAATTTCATTCAAAAATAATTATTGTCTTTTTCATACCTAACAATTTCAAGTTAATTAAATTACGGCTTTTTTTAAAAAAAAAGATAGTAAGACAACATCGTATAGTTTAGCTTATTAAACATTCAGTTTTAGATGTTTATCAAACATTATAGATAGATTCAGTATTAAGATTCAGATATTTATATATTTCTTTTCAGCACTTAAAATTTAGCAAATTAATTGTTTCAATATTCAGTTTCAGAATTCAGATTCAATTTTATCAAATAGGATCTTAGTGTGTACTCCTAATTGTAATTGAATTTGATATTTTAAAATTGACATTCAATACAAACTTCTATGTTTAACTAAATTTGATTTTTCAAAGCCACAATTAATACAAAATCTCAAATTTAACTAAATTTGATTGTAAATCATATTTAGTACAAGATGTTAATTTTAACTAAATGTGATTTTATAAATGTGACATTCGCTACAAACTCTTAATTTTAACTAAATTTGATTCTCTGAAAGTCACTTTCATAAAAAAATAAAAAAACAATTTTAACTAAACGAGATTTCCTTACATTCACATTCTATACAAACTCACAGTTTTAGCTACATTTGATTATTTGTTGAAACGTGATGCAACATGTTTGGTATACGTAACTTGATGGAACAAATTTGTGCGTTTGATATTTTGTTTGATCAATGTTTCTAAACAAACTTGAAGTAACATATTTGCGGACGTGCTAGTGTACAAGTCAATATTCCTAGCTACTCAATTTGTCAGGATCATAATCTGTTTTATCTTAATTTGTCAGGATCATTGTCTGTGTTACTCAATTTGTCGTTGCTGTTTAGTTCAGCAAATGTTACTCCAAATCCTAGGCACATGAAACAAAGAAAATTATACTTCTTTTTTGGTACAAAAAGAAAAATTACACTTCAATTACTGCATTAGTATATGGTATTTTACAAAATTGGTGACAGAAAGAATAAGTTGTGATGCATATGTCATCTTACGCACCTTAATATGCAACACTGGTCTGGAGTAAATAAAAAGGAGAATTTATGTAATCAAAATAGCAATTAATCAATCTTAGAATTTTAGTATTGAGTTAGTTTTTGTTACCTATTGCATAAGTCCAATGCTTGACGGAGCCCTCAGTTTTTCGATCGCCTTCGTGAAGATTAACACCATGTACTTTGTCGGAGCAAAGATTTGGAGGTTGGTGTGCTTTACCACCAAAGCTATGGAAGAATTCATCAGGATCAGGCTTGACCTTTATCTCAGCTTCTAAATTTTCCAGCCAGATTTGGACTATCCATAATTGGTTGAAGTAATACTGAAAAACAACTATGCATTTTTTGCTAGTAAATGTTGTATCAACTCAACTGGCTCAACCAACGTTTATAGGATCAATTTTCATGTTGCAGTAGCATTAAGATTATTACGTAGATGAAGTCCACATTTTGTGCTTAAGATCTCAATTGGAGAAAACTTTCAGATGATAGTATTTACTACTTGCGTAATTAGCTTGATAATTTTATTAGAGGGGTAAAAAATGTCGTAGCATCGGTTCACTTGGTAGTAGACAAATTTTTTTTTCCCAAGTTCTACAATGTTTTTTGGATGATTGGAAAAGGAATTCAGAGTATGTTGACAACTTTTTTTTTTAAGGTAGTCACTCGTATTGTTGCAAGAATGGAAATAAAAAAAAAAAAAAAATTGGCCCTTCAAACCAAGAAACTGTACATTCATCCACTTCATGAATGGTGAAGCGCAATAGAAAGTCGTCTATTTTTTTTTACTTTTTACTTCTTCTCCTTACTTTGTTGGATACTCAACAACACGATGGTTTTGCTGAACAACACCATGAAAGCAACTCTTCGGCCATTTCCATGTTGAAAATTTCAGAATGGAAACCTCAATTGTTGCAAAGTCGATGCTTGACAACTTTAAGGTGGCATAAAGTGACTATCATGAAAGTTCAAAATACAAGTGAGAACTAATGCTATAGTACAAAGAAACAACTTCAAAATGGCAGCTGCTAATAATTGTCATCATACATATGCAACAAATATTGAAGACCTAGGATCAATTGGCATACACAGGGATAAAGATCTTACTGATGAATTGATCCATGTAGCACAAAGATATGCATCTAATTCGATTACATTCTTTATTTTTTGTTTTGCTTTTCCGTGCAATTTTATTGTACTAATTCCTTTTACTGCTGCAGAAATCTATATGCTCCATTAATTACAAGCATATATATTAGGCCTTGATAAGTGAAGCGTCCACATCCTTCCCCATATGAAGTAGCCAGTCCAGATATTTAGTCGGACTAGGCATATTCTCGTTCAGTTTTTCATAGTCAATGGTATATTTGGCAAAGCTGGAGACACCTCTGGAGATAACTTGTAACGTTATTATATAGTTCTTGTAGTGCTTCATGCAATCTCCATCTATTGCCTCAGAAGTAATTGTCTTGTTCTCCTCGTCAATTTTGAGCCTGTCTTTGAAGACCTCAACTTTGCCATCTATATTTTCATCACAAGGAGATTCATCAGTAGCTATCAGGCTCTATTTGCCACATTTTGGTAAAAATTCAATGCAAAATGAAAATTCCAGTGGGAAAAAAAAATGAATTAGGAAAAGTTCCATGCTTCACAACACCAAACTAAGTTACAATATACACTCCTTATCCTTGATGTCTTTCTAATTTTCTTATGTAAAAATTAAACAATTGGTCAGGTATGCTAACTACTTCACAAGCAAGGGCACAAAAAACTCATAAAAATGAAAGGGGTAAATGGACATCAAGACACGAGTGGAATGGTGGCTTCACCTATGACATAAGTCCACAGCTTGATAGAGCCGTCAGTTTTCCAGTCACCTTCGTGCACTTCAATCCTGTTAACTTTCTCATTCACAAGATCTGGGAGTTGGTGTGCTTTAGCGCCAAAGCTATGGAAGAACTCATCAGCATCAGACTTCAGCTCGAATTCAGCCTCCAACTTACCTACTAAATTATTAGCCATAGGAGAAAGTTTCAAGAATTGATTAAAAAAAAAACTACTAATAACCTTGATAATACTATGTATTATGCAACTCAGTCACACCTGATTTATAGATGCTTCATGAATTGGTTGGCTCCCACAAGTTAGAAATGTGCGGTTCTCTCTTTCTTTGCTGCAAAACACACGTTGCGATGTGTTTTCAGGCAACCACACATTTCTAACTGCGAATTGCACTGTGAAATACTATTGATCATATGGGATTTACTTTGCTGTCTGATCCCTTATCCATTGAAAGCAGAAATCAAAGTTGCTGTACATTCCAATTGATAATTCCTCGGGCAAGTTTTCTTTATTTTGCTAAGCTGTGCATCTAGGGCATCATGCCAATTAAATTCAACCATAGAGAGAATAATTTCCACTTTGCGTCCACAATGTTTTAATAGATTTTCAGTCTGCACTTGAAAATTTTAATTTAAATACTTTATCATATTGGAAATTACATATATTTTTCTCTTAAAAAGTAAAATTACCGTCGTTAAACTACATTATGTTTTACCACAAATATTTTTGTAATCTTTTGGTAACTCTATGGTTTAATCCAGATATAAAATGGGAAAATATACAAATGGAGCATCGTTGAAAGGACAGGAAATTAACTTTTGGTATGCAACTCCAAATAATGTAGCTAAGAAGCCAATATTGCTTTACACCAGTTATTTATATTCATCTACTTTTTACGTACCTGTACACATTTGTTATTCCAATGCGCAAGTTTTAGAGTACATTTTGACGAACAATAGTTGTGGAGATTCCTGCTTGTTTTGTTCACCTCTTTGGGGACAATTAATTGGCAGGAAGTCAAGATATGATAACTGATTAGGGAGAGTCTAGGGACATCATCTTAATTTGCTATGGTCGATATTAAAGTCCATCTCACCATATCTCTATCATACATCTCAGGACGAAAAAGCAACATTTTACTAAACTGCATGGCGAAATTTTGATCTAAACTAAGTTTTTTCTTGTGAAATTGTGATCTAAATTAAGTGTTTTTCGTGTTCTTTTGTTACATAATCAATCAGCGTGTTTGTTATTAATAGGTTGCTTTTCAAATTTACATAGTTGTTTATTGTGATAGAATTGCACTTTCAATTACAAAGTTGGTGTCAAGAAAACTATCATGTTTTTTCCCCCTTCATTTGTAAGTACCGGGGCCTGCATTTGCTGCCACAAATTATGGCTAGAGAGGCAATAAAAATGCATGCCCAAGATTCTGTATGTTACTAATTACTTTTTTGTGTTTGACTTAACACTCATAATAATTGGAGAGAAATTGGTACCTATTTTTGGAAGAAATTACCGTAATTGTTTTCCAATTCTCATTCAAGACTTGAATAAATGCTTCACCAATACGACTTCTATTTCAACTATATGTTTAGAAGATTTTTTTTTTTTTTTTTTGGGTCAGTTGGCAACATCTACCCTATCTTTACACTAATCTGTTCAAGGAGAAGATCCAACCTATCCAATAAGGGCTAGAAGGACAAATTAAGTTCACATCTCTTTTTTTACCACTGCATCTTATGTTTTGCCCTTTGACTAACACCTGGAGCTTGTTGGTTAGAAAAGTTTGCTTACTTGATACGTAGATATGGATTTGTGTCATTTTATTTTTGATCATTTTGATACGTAGAATTACTAACACACATAAAAATTACGACCAAGCATTAACTCGATCGAGAGCTTATTCTTAAAAGCTTCGCTAAGCTCACTTCTATTCTATTACATTCATTGTTTTTTTCAAACGTATATGGTATCCAAGTCAAGATAGCTATATATAGAGATAAATATTTCATATATAAAAAGAATTTTCATATATAAACTTATTTTCGTGCTTTGAGAAGTGAACCATCCACGTACATCTTTGAATATAATAATATGGATGATACGACAAAATTGGAAAAATTAATACAAATTAAAAGAAAAAATGTCCCTTAATTCTCATGGATGATACGACAAAATTGGAAAATAATAATATGGACTTAAAAGAGTATCTATTGCAAAATCATAGTAATTGAACCTTCAAAAAATTAAGTAAAGAGTTGCCTTAATTTGTTATTTACCTACTGCATAAGTCCATAGCTTGACAGAGCCATCACTCTTCCAGAACATCAATTAATGCCGTGCACTTTCTCAGAGCACAAATTTGGAAGCTGGTGTGCTTTACCACCAAAGCTACGAAAGAACTCATCAGGAACATACTTTATCTTTATCTCAGCTTCCAACTTTTCTGCTGTGTTAGCCATAGTTGTTTCTAGGTCTCATGCTCACAAATTATGCTACTGATCAGCAAGAACCTTGACCAATAATCCAATGCATTATGCAATTCAATTTCTTTACCACCTGATTCGTAGATGCTTCACGAATTCGTAATAGCGCCCACAATTTAGAAATGTGCGGTTCTCCATTGTCTTGGCTGATCAATGACATAAATCCACATGTTGCAATATCTTTTCAGGCAAATGATATGCTAGCTGCAGGGTTTAGCCAATATGCATGTCACACTTGATTAGTAGTTAGATCGGCAAATGATGCACTCCTATCTCCAAAAGAGAATTGCAATGTGACATAATGATGCGGGATTTGCCTTAGTTTAATTGAGTTGAAAGATGGTACAACAAAAATTTAGATATGATGCAACTAAATTAAAATATAATGTAATAAAATTGAAATGATCCTTTTACCCCCGAAATGAAATGAAATGGAACTTTTGATTGCCCAGATCCTTAACGATTCAAATTAAGAGGGAATGGCACAAAACACTAGCGTAACTTAGAGGACAGTTTTGACTTTGCATAGGTAATGTTTTTTTTTTTTTTTTGTGGTGGTAACCTTCTGGTAAATCTATGCTATGATCAAAACCCATAATGGGCAGATATACAAACTGAGTATCATTAAGAAGAAGTGAGTTTAACTTTTGATATGCAACTCAAAAAATATATAGTTAAGAAATTGTTGTTGCTTTACACTTGTTATTTAAATTGTGTACACTTGTTACGTACGTTTGTACATTTATTGCTCCCATATATGCATTATAGAGTACAGTTATAACTAACGGTGTGGAGATACTTCACCTATGGAGTAGTGTCTTTCTGATGGTTTAGTTATAATAACTGAAGTAGGGACAAAATCATAATTTGCCATAGCCCCCAAATTTCCACAATAAATCGCAGGAGATAATTAAAGCAAAATTTTTATTAAATTACATGATGAAATTGTGAGCTAAATAGAGCAATTGCTCATGTTCCTTTGTGTACGTAACCAATTGACGTGTTTGGTATCAAAAGATTGCTTATACAATTTAGAGATCCTAAGAAACAAAAAACAAAAAACAAAAAAAAGAGGTGTTTAAAGAGAGAAAACTTAGAGAGATCCTTGAAATTTGAAGGTTCATTAGGGGTCAACCAGTGAGCCCAAAAAAAAAAAAAAACTAAGACAGATAAAAAGCCACACGAAACCTTCGTTTTATTTATTTTTTTTATCAGCAAACGTACAACGGTTAACACTCATATGAAGTACAACCAAGCCTTGACAGGATAGCTCCATTTTAGAGGCTTTTTTTTTTTTTTGAAGGACATTTTAGAGGCTTCACTAACCCCAGACAATGGGGTATATTTAGAGATTCTCTTACATTAACTTATATTGTATAACATTCTTTGTTTCTTTTTCTTTTCTTTTTTTCCCCGGTAACCCGAGCCAAGATGGCAATCATATGGTATCTATAGATATATTTATTTTCGTGCTTTGAGAAGTGAAGCATCCACATCTTTTGCAGCATGAATTAGCCAGTGAAGGTACTTAGTTGGAGCAGGATCATTCTCCTTGACGGTCTCATACTCAATGCTCCAGTGGGCAAAGTTTGAGACACCTTTTGAAATAACCTGCAACTCAACCTTATAGCTCTTGTATTGTTCCTTAATGTCTCCTTCAATTGCTTCCAGAGTTACTATCCTGTTCTCCTCGTCCACTTTAAATCTCTCTTTCGCAGTTTCAACTTTCCCATCTGTGTGAATTTTCACCAAAGTAGAAATTAAACAAATAATCCAGCAAAGTCAAAAGCACTTTTTGGATCTTCTCCGGTACTAAAATTATTTGTCGATCACTAAAGACAAACAAAGTAATACGCCCGAACGATGCATATGCATTAATGATTTTCCTAGAAAATGATTTATACAAATTAAAAAAAATGTCCCTTCGCAAGGATGACACCCTAAAATCGAGCAATAATATTATATATACATATACATACATACATACATACATACATATATGTGTGTGTGTGTGTGTTACAAAATCATAACAATTGAAACTTCAAGATCGAGTACAGGGTTGGCCTTTGTTGCTTACCAATTACATAAGTCCAATGCTTGACAGAGCCCTCAGTCTTCCAATCACCTTCATGAAGATCAATAGCATGCAATTTCTCAGAGCAAAGATTTGGAAGCTGGTGTGCTTTACCACCAAAGCTATGGAAGAATTCATCAGGATCAGACTTGATATTTATCTCAGCCTCCAACTTTTCTGCTGTGTCAGCCATAGTTGTTTCCAGCCCTAGGTAGTCTCAAAACCACCGACATTTATATATAGGACCTTGATCTAGTAGAATGGAAATGCTAATGTATATGGACCTTAACCAGTGGACCAACATTCATATAGGATCAGTTCCCATACATTTGTGATAGCTGGGCTAATTAATACCTTCAATCCCTGTCAATTATGTTTAAAATTTATGTAGTTATACCATCATACCCCGTATTTTCAATTTTAGATGCTTAAATTTGAATGCGCTTACCGCGCTTAAATTTGTCTTGCTATATTCTTCTTTTTGATGGTCAAGAGAAAATTTTATGTCATCGGTAACAACTTTAAATAAGATTAGATTAATTATCTTTGATATAATAATAATAGGAGGTAGCCCTCATAGGGGTGGTCCAGCGGTAAGCGGGCTTTTAAGGATTCTTGAGCTCCTGGATTCTAATCTTACCCTGGACTTAAACCCCTGTGACTCGCCCGGGATCGCTGCGTGGGGTGGTGGCGCACTCCTCTGGTTTGATGTGCCGGCTCGAATCCTAAGGGTTCGAGTCGGGTATGTTCTGGGTTACAAAAAAAAAATAAAAATAAAAAATAATAGGAGGTAAAGTGTCATATAGTAATTGAAGAAAATTCATTGCACCGTACACTTCTTTATAGACCAAATTCTATCTTTGCACCTGTCTTCACATATTTGCAGAATGAAAGCACTCAAAAAACAAAAAAAAAAAAAAAGAGAAAAGAAAATGTGATCTATTGGCTTAATTATTTGATCACACCAATTTTTTTTTTCAGCAAATAGGCCCCATTCCATTAATCAATCTTTAGTCACAGCTCACAAGTCTCCTTTTAAAGACCAACCATGAGATAAAATCAAACCTTGGTACAATTTTCTCACTCCATACTAATTATGCCACACAACCTCATGACCCTTTGCTCCAAAAGTTCATCAATCACAGTTTTAACAACAAAGGAAGCAGTAGGTACCCGCTGGCCACTTCACCTCATCCATCATAAAGCTTTGGTCAAGAAAAAAGCTGGAGTAACATCAATCAAGCTGTTTACCTCATCGGACCTCCTTCTTCATCAATGCCAAACCATCCACCATCTGAATGAGGCCTTAATCTGCTGATAATCATGAGCTCCCAATTCTAGGAATATCTATTTGTCCAGTTCTTCGCAATTTTGCTAATTAAAAGGTTTAGCAAAATTTCTTAGGTACCTCCTGCGCCAAAAAGCAACTGTAAAGGTTAACAACAAGTGTTTAAACTTCTTAACTTAAGTCGGCATTTATAAAGGTTAATTAACTGGTTTACATACTTAGATCATTTTATCAATTCGGTTCTATAAAATGTTTTGAATGGAAACAATAATAATATCGTTTCCATGATTAAAGAATGGGAATAAATTTTGCATGATTCAGAAAACAAATTTTGTTCTGCAGGATTGGTACCATGTACTACTATTTCTCTGTAGTTGTTAGCCGACATTCTAAGTAAGTACGAATTTCTCGAACCTTTTTATGTTATGGGAAAAAAAAAAAAAAGAGTAGGAAGTGCAACCAAACACCCACACAAATTTGATCGGAAATAGTCCAAAACCAAAGTCCATAGGACTGAATAGATGCAATGAGTTGGAAAATGATAAATCAGTAACCTAAAGTAACAAACCCCGCTTTAGGTGTTGTACCCAAGCTCCATGAATGATTTACATGGCATGCCAAAGTACAAAAAAGGCCCTTTAGGAAACGGACGGAAAACTTCCCAAGGGTGAAATCAAAGTCCTTTTTGTTATATATGTAAGATTAAGGATATATCTTTTATATATAATATATTCACTTTCATCATTAAATATGTTACACATAATTTAAATTTGAATTTAAGATTCAAATTTGTATATGTATTATACATCAAATTATGATAGTGTATGCACTATTAATGTACGTAAAATTCCAGTTATTATCTAATCTTCTTGATAGTAAAATTTAACTTTTTCCAGTATATATGAACGTCCAACGTAGGTTAAGTTTATCAACAACAGACTACTCTTGCAATCTTCTATTTCTCTAAAATTTTAAAAAAAAAATGAGAGTTGTACGGTGGGATAATTTTCCACCACCATTGTAAAAACTACTAAAAGTGACATGCATCAATGAAAGTTTTCTTTCCTCAAAAAAAAAAAGGACCCTTGCTAAAATAACACACAATTAAAATCACGGATAACTTTTTAATATACAATCAGCGTATAATTTTTTTTACAGTAACAAGTTTAAATTATTGCCACATAACATGAATTCAAATTTGAAATTTAAATTATACACATGTGGTATTCATTCGAAACTGTTACTATAAAAAAATCAATACACTATTAGAACATAAAAGTTAATCCTTAAAATCAGTGCTGTTGATCTTAGTCCTTTTTGTGTGATCTGGGAAGGTATGCATCCACGTCTCTAGAGAAACTTATCAAAAAATCAAGATGAGAATGCGGGGGTTGGGACATCATCATCTGCTTTCTCGCGCTCTAGAGTCCATTTCACAATGTTTCTATCATCTTGGGGATTTGCGTCAAGTGTTGCTTTGAAACTCTTGAATTGATTGTGACTTCACCTCTATAAGCTCGATTATGATCGTTTTGTTTTCCATGTCAGTAGCATCAATCTTGTCTTTTGCAATCACAGGACCGCCTGTTTTAGCAAAAGATAGGTCTAATTTTAATTGGAAAAAAATGTAGATATCAAAATGGTGGAATTAAAACAAACATACATAAGCTTGAATCAGTCCACAAAATAAAAATAAGTGAATAAAGAGTTTAATTTGTTAAGGGAAATTATTACAAGATAATAAAACTGTGTTCATCCTAGAGTCAATTATTCATCCTCATATTTTTCAGTGAACTGTTATCATCAAATTTTTAGGGGCATCTCCTCTTACGACGAAAATAGATGAAAAGACCCCCATTTTTTTTTTTTTTTAAGTCAAGGGCTTGAGTCATTTCACGAGAAGAGATAATGTTTTTCATTGTCTCTTCTGAAATGACTTGGAATTTTCATTGTCTAACTAAGAATTTAGTGAGTTACTTAATAAGTAAAAGTCCAGGACATTAATTTCAGGTACAAATAGTTGCTCCCAAAACTTTTCTCAAATTTGAACACAGTATTCCCAAATGCTATCACATGTATCCTTTTTTTTTTTTTTTCAGTTTTTTCCCTAAAGATAAGTTACTCAGTAATTACTTTCTTCACCCAAGACATTAGAAGTGTTTGCTTGGCAGTTGCCAGTATTGGAAGAAATACCACAGTTGTTGTATAATACCAGTAGTCATTTTCTGGCCATATGAATACACATGATGTTTTAACTTCTGCCAATGTACAGAACACCTTCAATAGCTGAACTAACAATTGTATGGTTGAAATCCTAACGCTTGTCTAAACAGACAAGACATTAAATTGTTCTTAATTGCGGTGGTTGTTGTATTGCATCTATCAAAAACTGTGGTATATTAAAGCACACTTGGAGAAATTGTATCCAGAAATTTGTATATCAAAAAATCCAAGCACTTGGAGAATATGAGGAACTGATCAATCGCTTTATGTCATTTTTAGCCTCTTTGTTAATGTTCTCAGTTTTTGTTTCTAAATTTATGAAATGCAATTGTAATTGGAGGAAGGTTTTTTACCCCCCAGAAAGTTTCCTTCTTCTTACAAAATTAGAGTGGCCACTCGAATTTTTTTAAAAAAAAAAGATATTTAGAAAGAGTGATTATCCTATAAAAAAAATATTTGAATATCGCAATAAACACATATTTCATACAACCAGTCTAGATCAACTGAGCGAAAAATAAAATTAAAAAAAAAAAGGCAATACTATGGCAAGGCAAGGTGATTTAGTTAATAATAATAGTACTTACCCATGACACAACTCCAAAATCTGATAGAGCCAACACTGTTTCCATCACCTTCGGTCCTTCGAGCACTTGAATGCTTTGCAGTTTGTCAGGACTAATCTTGGGCACGCGGCTGGTTTTGTTCTGGCAAACATCAAATACCCTCTCGGGAGAAGATTTTATTTCTGTCTGGAGCTCAAGCTTACGAAGTTGAGCCATTGTTGTACTACTATTTTCTTGACTTTTTTGGGCTATGTAAAAAGGAATAACTTTGCTAACTTGATATCAAGACGTCTAGAATGTGGCCTATTAGTAATGTCAAAAGAAGATTGCCTGCTTTATTAGATGAATCATTCCATACTGGTTTTGGGTTCCAAAAGAAGCTATAAAGTACAAAATAATTTCAGATTCAAAAAACGCACCTTAGCTTATAATAATGGTACCGCATGCGGTACAACAGAATCCCTAATAATCGAATGACATTAATAACACTAAACTCATTTATATTTTCATATTTACCGGTCAATAATCAAATGGTTAACCTGGTTCTTGATGTAGAAATATCTAGAGATGGCAAAAGATCAGGTTTGGGGTGGGAGATGACCCTTTTTACAAAAATTCTCCTCGCTCTCTGCCCCATCCCCCGCACGCCCTGCCCTATCCCACTATTAATTTTATTTTGATAAATTACCTTTTATCTCGATATGATTTGGTGTTTTATCACGTAGCTCTTTTATGATTTAGAAATCTATATATAACTCTCTCATGATATACGTTAAAGTGCCATCATTAAACTAATAAATTGACAAATTCACCATTTCGTCACTTTTTTTTTCTTTTTTCTTTTTTCCTTCTCTCTCTCTCTCTCTCTCTCTCTCTCTCTCTCTCTCTCTCTCGTCAAGAGACGAGATGATTTTGAAAACTTATATTTTGGCCTACAAAATCTTAATTTTCTTCAAATACAAAAGAGATAGAAGAGAAATAAAAAGTAAATAAATAAATAAACAAAAAAAGATGGAAGGAAAATATAAAACAAATAAATAAGAAACAAAAAATATCAAATGCTTTTTTTACTACAAATATCATTATAGGTTTTTAAACGAAATCTTAATGGTATTTACTAGTTCTTATTTATTTATTTTTTATTTCAGTTTCTGCTTTTTTATGTTTGGAGGAAAAAAGAAGTAATGAAAG